GATGAATGTAGAGTGCTAATAAGTTTCATTTACTGATATAATCATGTAAAATGTTACAACCGCTCTAAAGATCTATTTGGCAATATCTGGAAAAGTTGAAAATGCACACACTGTCAAGACAAACAGTTCTGCTCCTAGAAGCATCTTGCCCACAAAGGATTTCTCCAAATATATATATATATATATATATATATATATATATATATATATATATATATGGAATATAATATAATATATATATTATATATGGAATGTGGGCAAGATGTTTGTAGCAATAGTGTTAGCAATAATAGGAAATTAGCAACAGCCAATATTCAGCAAGGGAGTGGGTAAACAACATGTAGTATAATTATGCAATTAAACCATCAATGGATTTCTGAACAGTAAAAAATAATTAAACTATGTATTCATGTATCAATATGTTCACACAAACATTGTAAAGAAGAAAGAAAAGAAAGTCCCAGAAAGGTCCTTAGAGTATATTATTTTCTATAAGGTTATAATAGTGTGTAGATATTGCTTGGATATTGTTTAGAGATACACACCAGGTAGAATGGCATATGACCATTACAGGTGTCCTTCCTGGTGCCTTTTCATTTTCTTGACTGCTATCTTTAAAGCCTTTGTTTCTTTTTTTGTTTGTTTTTTTGACAGAACTGGGGATTGAACTCAGGCCTTGCACTTGCCAGGCAAGTGCTTATTCTACTGAGCTATCTCCCCAGTCCCCCTCTTTAAAGTCTTTGGTAACCAGGAAGCTGTCCTTTTTTTTTTTTTTTGCATTTTTAGGGAACGGTGTACAGGGTATTCAGGGTCTCACTACCAGATCGGACTCATAGTGATCTGCCTGTTCACAGCCTCCCAAGGGCTACACCCAGTCAAAATTGCCATCTCAGTGTGCTTGGGGGGGTGGGGCCAGCATGGTAGGCCCAGGGATTGAACCCCCGGCCCCTGAGCATGCTTGCAGGTGCTTTATTTATTTGTTTATTGCAGAACTAGGGATTGAACTCAGGCCCTTGCACTTGCCAGGCAAGCGCTTATTCTACTGAGCCATCTCCCCAGCCCCTGCAGGTGCTTTAATCCACTGAGCTATTTGGCTGGCCCTTGTTCTTCCTTTCTATAGTCATATTATTTCATAGGCATAGAACCATACCATATGCAACATTATAGGCTGACTTTATTCACTTAGCATAATTCCTTGGGGACTCAAGTAAGTTGTATATGTAAATACATTCTTTCTTTTCTTTATTGCTGAGATGTTCTACTTGTTTAAGAAAACAAGAAGGCATGGTTCTGCAAAAAAAAAAAAAAAAAAAAGCCAGAAGGCAAAATGACAAAAATATTAAAATTAAACAAAGCTAGGTGATAAGTATGTATTTGTTCTACTGTTCTTTATAACAACTTTTCTGGATGATTATAACACTGCATAATATTTAGGGTGGCATGCATCCCACCCAACCTTGGACATGGGAAGGTCAGTCTAGGCTAACCTTGCTGGCTAGATAGACGTTGTTTTTTTTTTTTTTTTTTTTTTGGTTTTTTTTTGCTCCTCGAATGCCTTCAGGGCACTTTTGGCTGGCTGGAGTGTTGTGGGGATCAAACTACAGCAACCTGAGGCTGACAGCTTTGTGGAAACAGCCACTTAAAGAACTGAGCTAGGGCCAGGCCCCTAGATAGACATTTTAGAGGCAAAGTGAGTACCTGTTCATTTTGTGCTTTAACTTATTTATTTATTTATTTATTTATTTGGTACAGGGTCTTGCTACACAGTTCAGACTCGTAGTGATCCTCCTGTCTCAGCCTCCCCAGCACTGGGATTACAGACATGTACCATGCCTGGTGGCTGGCACAGATAGAAACTGGGTCCTCGTGCTTGCCAGGCAGGTGCTTAGACTGCCAAGCTATCTCCCCAGCTCATGTCCTCTTCTGTGGCTTACAATAGCAACATGTAATACTACATATTTGTTAGATAAACAGCTTTTGCAATCGTAGTTTGATTGTTCCATGTTGGGAATAAGCACACAGGACATAAACTGAGTCTCTGAGGTGGGCAAGATTGTTCAGAAGGCAAAAGACCCAGAGAGACCCTGGAATAGGTCTGTCTGATGCACAGCTCCAATCTGGCCAACAAGTGAACATTGCCCATGGTCTACTGAGTTGTCCCGGACCCGAATCATACTTTCATCACCTGGTACACAGCCTCTCCGGGGAGATCCTGAGAAACCATCAAGAGAGCTAGTCAGGTCTCACAATTCAGAAATGTTGTTAAATAAACAAAAAAGCATAAATTATACTTTACAGACAACTGCTAAGTACTTAAAATAGCATTGATTTTCACTTAAGTTAATTGCAGTCTAGACCTCCAAGCAGGCCTGGCAAGATTTCTCTAGAAGCATTTTATTATTCAAAATTACACAGGTTATAGACATACTTATACAGGAATGAAACAAACTTTTATTTCTTTAAAAATATCAGGGCCAGGGTCTTGTGGGTTAGCTCAGTTGTTTAAAGTGCCTGCTTGGGCAAACTCATTTAGGTGCAGGGGACCACAGTTCAATCTACAGCTCCACCAAACCCATCCTTAAGGGAGGCTGAGCCAGCCAAAAAAAAAAAAAAAAAAAAAAAAAAATCAAGGCCGGCCCGATAGCTCAGCAGACTAAAGCGCCTGCTTTGGCAGAGTGCAGCAGCCAAGGGTCAAGCCCCAGTGTGCTGTGCTCCCTGAGATGTCGATTGAGACTGGGCATGGTGGCCCACACCTGTAATCTCTGCCCTTGGGAGGCTGAAAACAGGAGAATCATTATGAGTCCAATCGGTGTCCTGAGAACCTGTAAACCCTGTGCTAAATACAAAAAATAAAAATATATATTTGGCAAGAAAAGGGAACAAAATAGTGATATGTATTATACCACAAATGAATCTGGAAAATGTCATACTAAGTGAAAGTAGCTGTGGAGAGCTACATATTTTATAATTCCATTTACATAAAACATCCGGGATAGACAACTCTACAGGCATGAAAAGTAATGACTTCCTAAGGCTGAAAGAGTAGGGGATGTGGTGAGGCTGAAGGGTACAGGGTTTCCTTTGGGGATGGTGAAAATGTTCTAAACTGACTGTAGTGATGGATACATGGATACACAGAAAGAGAAGTAGATAGACATTAAAAATTCCCACTTGTTTACTTTAAATGGGTGGATTACATCAATAATACCATTATAAAAACTATAGAATAACAAATCCTAGCAAGAATGCGGAGAAACCAAATCTCTCACACGTTACTGGAGGGCATGTAAAATGCTACAGCCACTCTGCAAGATAATTTGTGTTTCTTTAAAAATAAAATACATGCCACACTCTGGGTATCTAACCCAGAGAAAAGAAACTTAGATCCACATAGAAACCTATATAAAAATATTCACTGAAGCTTTATTTGCACTATTAAACTGGAAACAACCAACATGCCCTTTAACAGATGAATAGTTAGACAAACTATGGTATGTTCATGCCACTGAATACTCAGAAATAAGGAAGGATAAACTACTGACACGCAGCAACAAATTCGATGTCTGTTCTGTTCTGTTCTGGCCTGTTCTGGTCTGGTCTGTTTTGAGACATAGTCTCACTACACAGTTCTGGCTGGCCTTGAACTCACTATGTAGCTGAAACTGACCTCAAACTCACAGTGATCCTCTTGCCTCAGCCTGCTACATGCTGGAATTACAGGTGTGCACCACCATGCCTGGCTAAGCTGAGTGTCTTGAGCAGATGACGTTACATGAGAAACACAACCTAAAAATTCCATACTGTGTGACTCTACGTAACAATACAGAAAGTTACTGAGCCAGAGGACAGATTAGTGGTTGCCTTGTTGGATGAGAATGGAGGGCAGGTAGGCGTGACAAAAGAAGACCAGGACCACAAGAACTCTGGTGATGGAAGAGTCGGGCTCACCGAGGCGTCTGTCACAAAAGTCTTCACACAGGACAAAATGGTCTGGAACAACTCCTTCTCACTTCCTGGTTCGGATACTGTGCTATATTTAAATAAGACCATTGGCAAAACCAAGACGAAAGCTGTACAAGACTTCTTGGTACTCTGTGTTTACTATCATTATTTTAAAAGAGAAACTTTATTTATTTTTATTTATTTATTTTTATTTTATTTTTTTGGTGGAACCGGGGTTTGAACTCATGCCCTTACGCTTGCCAGGGAAGCACTTACTCCACTGAGCCATCCCCCCACCCCACCCCACCCCACCCCACAAAAGAGAAACTTTACAACAAAGAAAGTATCTTATAGTCCAAGTTGTCCACTATCTTTGCCCACTCTTAACATAAGACAAACATAGCCTAACACCTCAAGAGAGCAGCTGAGTGCCCTTGTTCCATTTCCTGGCCTGGCCTGCCCAGATAAGAAGGCTTGCCTCCAGGAACCCAATGCAGGAACACAGGTTTCAAGCAGGTAAGTCAGGGACAGCTGCACAGCACTGGGAAAGAATCTGCACTGTCTGGTCTGTGCTGAGTCCTATGATGGGCAACTAAGAACTCCAATCAGGGGAGGGAGGGTTGGTTAGTGATAGAGTTGTGTGCTTAGCTTTTGTGTGTGTGTGTGTGTGTGTGTGTGTGTGTGTGCTTAGCTTTTGCTTAGCTCTCTGTTCAATCGCTGGCTTCCTCCTCTCATGAGAACTTAATCAGACACATGGCTGGTGCTAAGAAAGAAAACATTGCATTTGTGTAAGTTGATGGTTCCATCACAAGCAATTGCTTCTGATTTTCAGATCGGATAAAACTGAACTGATTCTATCCCCCTTTCTCTTCCCTGCTATCCACACTGGCACAGAGGGATTGGGGCATTCACACATTCAATGAGCAAATAGCAGGAGCAAGCTATGGCATGCCAAGCATTTTGCTGGGTTCTAAGAATACAAAGGTCAGGAAAAATTGCTCCCCCTTTTGTCTTTTTGAGACAGTGTTTCACTGTGCAGTTCTTGGCCTTGAACTCACTGTGTAGCTCAGGCTGGTCTCGAACTCACAACGATCCTCTTGTCTCAGCCACCCAAGTGCTGTGATTGCAGTTGTGCAACACCATACCTGGAAAGAAAAAAATTTTTATGCGATAAGGAAAGATTGCTCAAAACTCTTTGTTCTTTGTTCCCAGAACCATTCCACTAAAACCAAAGGAGCTATCAAAACTGTGATGAAAATCCTGACCATTTCCTCACTTTCAAGATGCGTTACAAGGGGAAATGATCCTCTGAACCTAATCCTGACTAATCAGGAGGACTGAAAGGAGCTCAGAACTAAGCAGATCCCTAATGAGCCTGAAACCCTCATCTTAAGTTCTTTCAGTCAGCTCTCTGGAAGGCAGAGGCAGGAGGCTAGAAAGTTTGAGCTGAGCCTAGGCAACTCTCCAACTTAGTAGGACACTGTCTCAGATTTTTAAAAGGGTTAGGGAGATAGCTCTGTGCAAAGACCCTGCATTCAATTCCCAATCCTGAATGGGGGGGGGGGGAACAATTTTTTCAGAAGGTAAATTGTCCTGGTAGAGCTAAGCCTCTAATGGCTTTCTACCCCAGCCAGGCTTTAGAGGAAGAGGAAAAAAGGAAGTGAGACCTGTGGTCTGAGACTCTAGGGATTAGTCAGGGGAAGCTGTCCCAGGTGAAGTCTGGGCACCATGACAGCAAAGACCCTGTTGAAGAATAAACAGGGATGACACCTTAGAAATAAGAGCAGCCAGGGCCAGGAAGATAGCTCAGTAGAATAAGCACTTGCCTGGCAGGCACAGGGTCCTGAGTTCAATCCCCAGTACCATGGGAAAAAAAAAAAGAAATAAGAGCAGCCAAATAGACTCCCAAAATGAGCTGGGGTTTAAGATGCCCACCATAGAGGGAGGGTTCTACAATAGAACTTGCAGGTTTTTAAGCCCAGAAGGATCCAGGATTAACAAATTATAAAAATCACCTCCAAGCCCTCCTCCTACCATGGCTGCCAAGTAGATATTACGATTTGTGTTCAGAAGAAGTGAGAGGTAGCTACACTCTCTGATGCCTTCGCAAAAGGCACTGTGAAGTGTAGGTGCTCAGGCCCTGGAACCAGAGAAACCTGATTTCAAATTCTGACTAATCAAGTGGCTGGCTTCTTTATGGGTTGATAGAAGAGTTCATAAAATAATCCATGCAAAATGGAAAAGGAGTGCCTGGTACAAGGTAAGCTTTCAATAACAATAGCAATTGGTTTTTGATACAATTTTTGTTATAGAAAGAGTAGCATTGCCATTGACCAGGTAGATGAAGTTATCTAGACACATCCAAATGCAAGCAGGTGGTAAGAACAGCTAACCAGAAGAAGAAGAAGGAGAAAAAGAAGGCACAGCTTGTCTATAAATATGACCACTTCAGAAATAAAATTGAGGAGCCAGTACTGTGTCACATACCTATATTCCCAGCTACTCAGGAGGGTGAAGAAGGAGGATGGTGAGTTCAAATCCAGCCTGGGCAATTTAGCAAGACTCTATCACCAAAATGAAAGACAAAAAGGGCTGGGGATGTAGCTCAGCTTGATTAAAACAAACAGTTTGCTGGTACAAAGGGAAACAGAGGTCACCTGGCATTAGCCCAGGCTAAGAGAAACAACAGCAAGCAGGTCATGCCAGCATATCCTCATTCCCTTACCGGAAGTCGACTACATCAGTACATAAAGAATGCTGTACCTCGTGTTGTCCCAGCAAGGCCCCATTATCTCCTGACACCCAGCAGTTGAGGCTGGGGCAGGGGTCAGCAATAGCACAGCATCACTATACTCTCAAAATGAATAAAACTGTTCATCTGAGTCCCTTTCCTCATCCCTGAGACTCACTACCTGACACCAACAAAGTAAGGAGAGGTTTATTTGGGTCACGTTTTCAGAGGGTATGTTTGTGTTTGGCAGCCTTAAACACAGAAACCGTCTGGTGGAGGGGACTGGGGGGAGGAAGGCTGCTCATGGCGTGAAGGCCCGGAAACAGACAGCAAAGGGAGGATGGGAATTGCGCACCAACAGAACAATGGTCAAATTGCCAATGATAGTGTTGCAAGAGGATTTAGGCCAACATGATCTACACCACTCTGGTTCCAAGAAGCCTCCAAAAGTCTGAGGTCAGGAGAGGGATAGCAACTGGCCTTGAATTTTATGTGAAATGAAAGTATACAATGCATACTCCCTTTTTCTTTCAAAAAGTATTTTGAGATCCATGATAGTAGAATGTATCAATACTTCATTATTTTTATTGCTGAGCAGTATTTTTATGAATACACTACAATTTATCAATTTACTAGATAAACATCTGGCTGCTTCCTGTTCCACTATTACAATAAAGCTGGACCTAGTTGTGGAATGTCTGGGTCACATAATAGGTGTATATATATTTTGTTTGTTTGTTTTTGTTCTTTGGGTACCAGGAATAGAACTCAAGACCTTGGACTTGCTAGGCAAGTGCTATGCCATTGAGCTATATCCCTAGCCCAATAGGTGCATATTTAACTTTATAAGACAATACCAATTCTTTAAAAAAATTTAATCATTTATTTATTTATTTGGTATAGGGTCTTGTTTCGTGGCTTGGACTTGTAGGGAACCTCCTGTTTCAGCCTCCCCAGTGCTGGGATTACAGGCATGCACCACCATGTCTGGTTTTGGTGACCCTCACAGAACACCCAGGATACCAGGGCTGGCATGGCATGAAGTACCAGAGATCAAATCCAGGTCCTTGGGCTTGCCAGGCAGGCACTTAGACCACCGAGCTATCTCCTCAGCCCTGAGAATACTAATTTTTAAAGAAATGAGTATACAAGCCAGAGGCAGTAACACTCATCTAGAATGCAAACTACTTGAGAGGCTGAAGCAGGAGGATTGCAGGTTTAAAGCCAGCCTACATGATGTAGCAAAACCCTATCTCAAAATAAAAAGAGAAAAATAAATAAAAAGAGGGTACAGCTCAGTGATAGGGTGTTTGGCTGTCCTCAGCAAAGCCAAATAACAACAACAACAAAAAGAACAAACAAAACCCCACACACACTTGAGTGTATGATTTTATACTCCCACCAACGATATAGAGTTTCAGTTTCTATGCCTGCTTATTAAACTGGATATTGTCAATTTAAAAAAAATTTAAATGTATTCCGTTGTTACAGGGTCTCACTACACAGCTGGGATTCATGGTGATCCTCCTGCTTTTAGCCCCCTCAGAGATGGGATTACAGGCATACACCACTATGCCTGGACTCTAGCCTGCTCAGCCCAAACCTGGGGGCAGGGCTGGCACTGCATGTGGTGCCAGGGATTGAATCTCAGTTCCTGCGCTTGCCTAAGCTTGCCTAAGCAGGTGTTTTAGTACACTGAACTATCTCACTGGCCCAGTTTTTAAAAATTTAAGCCACCCTAAAAGTAGGAAGAAATATTTCATGGTGGATTTCATGTGCCTTTCTGTAATACTTAATGATCTCCAGCATCTTTTCAAGTACAATATTTTCTTGCCATTCACATGTCTACAATGAGCTGCAAAACATTTGTTTGAGTAACAGGGATGTGCTTGCTCATATAACTAGACAAATAGTCCAGAAAGATATAAAGAAGAGTTCATAGTTCATTCCACTGGTCCCCACCCCAACACACATGTCATCAGAGGAACATAAGAATCACCAGGAGCAACCCTTAGGAAGGTGCAAATTATTGGCCCCGCTCTTGAAGATTCTAGTTCAGTGGGTTTGGGTGGGGCATTTGGTGATTCTGATGCAAGAGTACCAGAAATAATTTCTTGAAATTTTGTTCTTAATTATGCCCTATAAGGAATGAAAGGGCAGATATGGAAGAGGGACTGTGGCTTCAAACAAGATGGAGCCTTTGCCTGAAATAGGGTGATCACCCATTATTTAAAATTGTATTTGTTTGTTTGTTTGAGACAGAGTCTTATTTTGTAATGCAGACTAGCCTTGAACTCATTCTGTAACTCAGGCTGGCCTTGAACTCACAGCAATCCTATTGCCTCAACCTCCCGAGTGCTAGGATTATAGGCGAACACCACCACACCCAGCCAAACATTCTAATTTTTAAGAAATTACTGTAAAACGAAATCAGACCACAAAGCCTAAAAGGGAGGAACATGCCAAAGCCACCATGTAGACAATAAAGGATTCTTCTGGCTTGAGAAAGCACGCATGCACGCAACGCACGCACATGCACGCACGCACACACATGCACGTACACACACACACATTCTGTCTCTCTGTGAGCAAAATCTTCCCTTCATAAATCTTTGGAGAGGAATGTAACCTACCAGACAGGTGGTACACATCTTCACCCAAATTAAACAGCAGCTATTTGCTCTTAGCCTATTTCCCTGGCTCCTTCTGAAAGGCCTCAAAAGGTAGAGAAAGAAGATAACAGTTTTGTTTTGTTTGTTTGTTCTTGTTTTTGTTTTTGTTTGTGGTACCAGGGATTGAACTCAGGAGCTTGCACTTGCCAGGCAAGCACTTACTCCAGAGCTATCTCCCCAGCTCCAGCACAGTTTTTTAAGAGTGGTTCTTTTTTTTTAGATAAATGAGTCTACCCAGGCTCTGTCCTCACAATTTAGATCCACAGATTTAATGTTGTTCACCCTGACAATAAACAAGCAATGGGCAGTGGACAATAAGCTGGACAAATTCCATTCTGCTTCTGTGACAGACCCGAAAGGTGACCCCCCCCCCATTAGTTAAATAAAAAGCCATTGATTTGGTCTACAGCAGAATCAGCCAAGACAGTGTTTGCTACAGTCAGCTGCTGATCCAAGCGGGATGTGAGCCAGCTGTTGGCAACGCCTCTACCCATGGCAGAGATTCAGCAAGCCTCCATTACTTCGCAAGACAGGGTGTTGTTCGCGTCCAGTTTATGCCCTCTTCCCTCTCTCTCAAAACAAACCATATGGTGCGAGCTTTATGTAAGAAGCAGGTGCGCCCTGCCCACCTGTGGTCTCAGCTACTGCAGAGGCAGAGGTGGGAGGTTCACACGAACCACAAAGCTGGGAAAC